TTATGGAATCGAATAAACCCGAATCTACTCAAAACCAGTAAAAACTAAATTAGAAACTCAAATCTAATGGGATATGGAGGGCAGTATCTGCTTGGGTGGGAATAAGGAAACTGAATTTAACTCTTGAAAGTGTAATTACATGGAGCATAAAAAATTCAAAGGGGCCAAAATGAAGAGCAAAGTCGTAAGGGTTGTTTTCTATCGCAAGATAGGTTGGAAGGAAAGAAACCTTAAAGATTTTTAAAGTAGTGTGGTTGATATTATTAACAGGCTACACCGCTAGAATTTACATTATTAGAGGAGTAAGGTAGACATTTATGCCATTCCGAGATATGCCCACATATGAGAGGCAACAAAACATTCTTTAACCCATCAATATTATGGGGAGATACCACAACACTTTTGCTGGTGGCACTACTACAAGAATGACATACCAGTATACCACGTCACACATTTGACGTCGGTTTTAAAAGAACGGTCGTAGTAGGACACAAGAGAATTACATGGAGCCCATGGGCCTTTTCTACCATTGTTCAACTCATCATCATGCTTGTATCGAAACTTACCATATTGTGGACACGTATATCCAACATTTCATATTCATTTTGGTACAACACACAATCATTGTTACATGCGTCAATTTTTTTGTACTCAAAACTCATGGACACATTAGCTTCTTTGTATAATAATTTGACTTGCTCATTTCATTTTCATCAGAAAACATATCATTTAACACTTCCAATAGAGACGTGAAACTTGTCTCGCTTTAGTTATTCGTTGGACTATGGGCGATTCAGTGGGGTTGGTATAACAGGGTTTTCAAGCACTGCCAGGAAAAAGGGCGGGACTTTGGTGAATTTTCATGACTCTTAGAGCATCTCCAATGCTATAATGTCCACGTTGCATATGTGGCATGAGTGACAGCCACATAAATATTAGCAAATAAATTATTTCTCTCCTTATTTGAATGATTTTATACAATTTTGGTAAGTTTTTCCCTGCAATGTCAACAACAATGTCAACATCTAGACGGTCTCCTTGACAGTGTGGAGAAAAACTTACCAAAACTGTATAAAATCATTCAAATAAGGAGAGAAAGAATTTATTTACTAATATTTATGTGGCTATTTCTCATGCCACATGAACACCGTGCACATTTTACCATTGGAGATGCTCTTATACAAATCAAAATAAGCCATGAATGAGGAAGGTTTCAAAGATAAAATACTAAAAGATAAATTCAGTCCGACTAGTAATGATAAATTAATAAACTAATTAAAAGTGGGATTTAGATTTGGATCAAGGATCTTGATTGGTTGTCATGAATTATTATCGTTTCAAATTTCAAGTTAGTTATAATCATGTTAAGTTAAGGATGTTTTTACTTGGACTGTAATTTGTCACAGACCAGACCAGACCAGACCAGTTCAGACCAGACCAGTTCAGACCAGACCAGACCAGACCAGACTTGGATAGTTATAAAAATACAAAGAAACCAGACCTTACCAGACCAGACCAGACCAGCAAATTACAGTCCAAGTAAAATCTTTATGGGGTTAGGATTTGGTTAAATTAAGGTTAATGGATGTTGTATATTAAATTAAATTTGGGAAATTTCTTCAATTGTTGGGAAATTTGAAGAGCAATTTGTGAAATTGATCACTTTACTTGTAAATCTTTGGAAGATTAATTCTTTTTATATGTGAGTTTGGAATTAATTTAGTTCACATCTCACAATCTCTAACTAAGCCTAGAAACAGGACATGTCAAGAGAATTGAAATTAATTTCTAGTGTATGAAAATTAATATACTACTAGCTTTAAATTGGAGAAAATTTCCCATATTTGTTAATAGCTTAGGGGTTTCCTCATAAATATTACTAATTTAATGAGTTTAGACAAATATGGGACTGGTTTTAGTTTCTTCCTAAAAAGAGAGTTCCGTATGCTCTTTTTAAAAAATCATTGCCACTAATACCCCTGCATTCTAATCGGAGGCTCGAAGCGCTGATTTCTTATCTAATCAATAGGCCGTTACCTTTGTATGACTTTTTTAATTTATGCTCTTTTACAGTTTTACTGTTTTTTTTATAAAAAAATTTATGCTCCTTTACTGTTTTTTTTTTTGAAAATTAATGCTCCTCTACTGTTCGGTTGATTTACGATTATGACTGATTACACTTACATGTTTAATTAGTTAACATTAACCGTAAGATTAATTACAATTACGCGCCGCCAGTTACATTTACTCATTCAACCAGTTACAGTTATCCGTCTAACCAGTTACAATTACATGTCCGACTACTTACAATTACAAGCCAAATCAGTTCCATTCACCCGCCGTCAGTTACAGTTGTCTGTCTGACTACTTACAATTACCCGTCGTCAATTACAATTGCCCGACTATATCAATTACAGTTATCCGATCAAACCAGTTACAGTTATCAATCGATCAGTTACATTTAAACGACACGACCAATTACAATTACCCGAATTGACCAGTTACAGTTGTTTGACCCGATCCGACCAGTCACAGTTACCCGACCACTTACCGCCACCAGTGACCTGCCACCGTCAATGACCTGCCGCTGTTAGTGACATGTCGCCGCAAGTGAGTTGCCACCGCCAATGAGCCGCCGCCGCTAGTGACCTGCTGTCGCAAGTGACATTTACCTTGCTGCCAGTTACCGCCAGCTGTTGGTGACAGTTTCGGATTTCGCCGTCCGGCCACTTACAATCGTGCCCCATCAATGACCAATGCCGCCACAGGGTGACCAATCTCTCCTCCTTTGGTGACCCAACCAGTGACCACCGCCAGTCACCGGCTATTGACCACCGCCGGTGTTCCAGTGAGGTGCGGCCGCCCAGCTCCCTTCCGCAACCTCATCACATCCACAACCCCCCTCCCCCGCTGCACTAAATTCCAGCCCAACCTCTCCCTTATCCCACCATCGCCAGTCGCCATAGACTGACCCTTGCAAGCCGCCGCCCACCGTGTAACTCTAGTCGCCGCCTACGTGGCTTCTATAACCCTAGCCGCCGCCACACCTTGAAACCCTAGTCGTCGCACCACCTCCGCCCTGATCTGGATTTTCCGTCGCTAATAGAGTAGGCATCGTTTTCCGTGGAGAATAAAATCTGTCTCCATATGCCATGGTTGAGAAGATAGCAACATTAATTAGAAGATAGGGGTAGCCGAGTGGTCATGCTTCTCTTCTGTTTTGTCGAAGATGCGTGTGGCCCGAAGAAGAAAGCAGGAGAGGAAGCAGAGTTGCTTGCAAAATTATTTGAGGGCATTCTGGACAATTCAATTCAATCTAATTAGTATTTTGTCCTTCCGAAGATTCGGTCCTACTTTTGTCGAACAGAAACCCACTACTCCTACTTTTGCCATTATTTCATAATTCAATACAATCTTGAAAGTCATTCGGAATTGGAAACAATCTTCTTGCTACATATGAAATAGCTTGCTACGTTTTCAGCTTTGTTCCGCCGTTTTCCCAACCGGCTGCTATTTCCTCTCTCTTTCTTCCGGGCAAGAGCTGCTGCCTATCCCCTTCCTCTTGTCTCATCTTTTGTATTTTTCTTTGATTTGCCATGTGCTGCTTTGTTCGATTGATTTGCCTTGCACCGTGTCCTCTCTTGAGATTTTGGGAGTGTTTGCAACAGCTTCTGCTTTAAAAAAAGCACTTTTGGAGTGATTTGGAAAAAGTGATTATTTGTAAAAGTTGATAGTGTTTGAGAAAAAAGTGATTTTGAAAAGTAAAAGTTGGTAGTGTTTGGTAAAATAAGTGCTTTTGGTGTATAAAAAGTGGAAAAGCACTTTTGACACGAAAGCCGAGAAAAATAAAAAATTGGTAGTGTTTGGTAAATAAGTGCTTTTTTAAGCCAAAAGCTGAGAAGTGCTTTTTTTAAAGTGGTTGCAAACGAGCCTTTTGTGGACCGATTACTCCCATCTTAGCTCCTTTGTTAGTTGTTACAAGGTCAACGCCCTTTTTTGTGTTTTTTTACTATCTTTGTTTTCATTTACTTTACTTCCTATTATGCGATTGTTCCTTCTCATTAACTAGCTCATGTTTAAGAAATGGAGTTTTTTTTCACATTAATGCTAAAAAATAAAATATTTATGAAATTAGGGTGAGGTTAAAACTATTTACGAAAATAGTGCTAAATTGTCAAATTTGATATGAGATAATTTTAGTGGGACCGACCAAAAATGAAAGATGATACAATTTTATTGGGATGTTGAGAGTAACAAAAAAAAAGAATTCAAGTTTAAGATTAGGGCTCGTTTGGTAACACTGAATCGGCTGAATATGTTGAATTTATCTATAAATTATATTTAAAGTATATATTTTATTTATAGATTAAATAAAAAAGTTTATGAAATATTGGTAAAATGATACTCTAACCAATACAACTACAAAAGTAAGTTAGATTTTACTTATTTTGAATATCACAAAAGTTATTGTAGAAATCAAAAGTTACGTATTGAATAAAATATACCAATACTTAATAAACACTACAAAAAAAAGGCGGGATTGGCACGGAATTTGGCACGGATTTATCAATTTTTCGTGCCAAATAGCTCGTGCCAAAGTGTTTTTGGCACGGATTTGGCGTATCCCTGCCAAAATCCGTGCCAAATTCGTGCCAAAATCCCTGCCAATTCCGTAGTTTTTTTTGTAGTGAAAATTATTAAGTTGAAAATTGGGATCATCACATTAGCTTTAAAAGAGTAAAAGAGTGAATCTAATCCTTAATAGACGTGTGATCGAAAAAACTCCATTAATGCACGTGTGAATGAACTGGACGGAATACGTACGAAGTATTAAGTCAAGTGCATATACACAATAATAAGAGAAGAAAAGTCTGCGGACTAAAAAAAACGGTTTCACTACCGCTCTTTCTCATTGACTTCCTTCATGTTGCCTTCAACTGAAAGAGAGTATAGAGCCTACATATACCGATAGCATTTTCCTCTTCTTCCTTCCAAAATACAGTTCCCTTTTCAACAATAATACTTTCTCCATTTCAATTCAAAAAGTAGAAGAAATAGAAATCACTAAAGTGAGTGATGGGAAACTGTTGTCCCAAGGCTGCAGATCACCTTCCCAACAGCATACACCGCAGCTCAGGTACTACCAATCCCAAATCATTAATTATTCCTCTATTATATCACACGTTTGGTAGTCCATATTAATTAGGTAGGTCAATTTATAAATAACTCCACATTAATATGATACTTTTCTCTAGTTAACAACAATTCTATCTGTTCGGTTTTCATAGTTTTCTAATGCTCTAATACATACTTTTTCTCTGTTTTTTCTGTCTTTTCTTCTGTTTTCCTTAGTTTTTTTGCTCTGTGTTTTACTTTGTTTCCCTCCTATCTTCCGTGGCTTTTTACAGTTCATGGTAATGTATCGACCCAAAACGAGAGTGTTAGCGTAAGCAGAAGCACCACCACCACCCGCTCACCACCGTCTCCGGCAGGGGAAGAAGGTGTTGGAGTTGGTGGCAGTGGTGGTCAGGTGATTCCTTCCAGTGGGAATATAGTGGTGCCAAATTTAAAGCCTTTCAAATATAGTGAGCTGGAGAGTGCAACGAGGAATTTTAGGCCAGATTCAGTGTTGGGACAAGGAGGTTTTGGAAAGGTGTTTAAGGGTTGGGTTGACCCCAAAACCTATGCAGCTTCCAGAGTTGGTGTTGGCATTCCAGTTGCTGTCAAGAAATCCAATCCGGATAGCGCGCAAGGATTGAAAGAATGGCAGGTAATTCCAGTTGTTCTTTTCCTCCAATGATATGTTCAATACTTCAATTCCTAAAATAAAATATTGGTAGATAAATTCTTTAAAACTCTCTAATTTATTTGACGGGTAATAAAAGTGTTATACGGAGTACTTATTAGGTAAAAAGCTACATTTAATTTAGTTCTGTTTGATAATAAAATTCTAAAAGGCCGTAACGTGTGCCGAAGTAGCACATTAAGTCCTAAGCCTTTGAAGCCGGGGTGGGTTTAACTGAAGCCTAGACGTGAAAAGGCGTTTTAGTTTTTTCTTTTATTTTACCTTTTTATAGGTATTTTTTAAATATGTAAATTCAATACTAAACAAGACTACTTCATCAGTACGTTCATCCAACTATATTGTCTCTTCTTCCATTTTTATCTTTCAAACTAAGTTAGTCTCATACAACATTTGATAATGTTATGAATTCTAATTTATTATTATTTTGTTCACATGTTAACAATTTAATACTAATTACATTATTTTACTTTTCTAATAATCACAACATTCTATATGGATAGAGGTAGTATCCTACAAGAATATCTTACTTTTCTAATTTCAAACAAAATATTGATCCCTTAAGTTGTAAATCCCTCAAATATAGATTTACTTATATTACACAAAAACTAGAATGGGATAACGTAATAATTATGATGATTACAAAAATGACAATGATGATAGTACTGAAACTAATAATAATGATAATAATAATAATAATAATACTAATAATAATAATAATAATATTTATTTTATTAATAATAATAATAATAATAATAATAATAATAATAATAATTGATTGTTCAATTGTGTGGTGTATTTAGAATAAATATTTCATAAAAGAAGACAAAGTTCAAAAATTTAACAAACGGACATGTAGGTATGTTGGAGCGATGGTTATACTCGTAACTTATAATCTTTAGTCTATAATAAACAGACAATTAGTCCCACATTGGTGGAAGAGAGGAAGAGGCTAACTCCTTTCTCATGCTGCGTGTTAAATTATGTTCCACTGCTTTGCAGTAAATTTGTCCCACACCGGCGGAAGAGGCTAACTCTTCTTTACCATCCTTTATCAATTAGTCTAGCTATACGCTGCAATCCATTAGATTAAAGCTTCGATGGTCTTGTTAGTTTTAAGAGGCCTGCTAGGGGTACACACTTTTTGTACACAAAAAGTGTACACTCGTCTGTCCCCCACAGACAAATTGTCTGTCGCGAGATGAGTTGTCTGCCCAGACGAGTGTACACTTTTTGTGTACAAAAAGTGTGTACCCCAATCTTTTTTCTAGTCTTAATGGGTTGCAGGCGGTCTAAATTAAAGGCTCAAGTAGGTTAAAACGCCTTTTGCCACGCATAGTGGGTGTGCGAGGCGTTTGGCGTTTGGTGGCGCCTTACTCTTACTCTCTCCTTGGTGGCAACTTACTTACCTGGCTAATCAATAACATGTGCATCAATATTTTACATTTTAAAATGAGCACATAGTAGAAGTAAAGCCCGTTTGGTAGCACGAAAATCGGCTGTTTTGGCTGATTCTGCTGAAACTTATGAAGTTCTGGCTGAAGTGGCTGCATTGGCTGATTCAGATGATTTAAGAAAAAAATATTTTAAAAATATATTTTATTAATAAAAATAAAGAAAAAGTTATATGTAAAAATTGCTAAAATGGTCATCTACAGTAACTTCAGTCAATACAGCCAGAAAAGTACTCCAAACTTACTAAAATGGTCAGCAAAGATATTAACATTTATATTAACATTTACTTTGAAATTATTTTAGCACTTGGTTTGCATTCATATTATGAGTCAATTTAGAAAATTTAAAGTATTACTAATGAGATTGGGAGATAGATGTTCTAAATCAAATTATCTCTTTTAATATTTTTGGAATTAACAAGTTTCAATTTTAGATACTCCATATAATTTAAGAATTGTAAATACAAAAGAAAAAATAAATAAAGAAGAAGAAGAAGAGTTGGGCGGAAGATGCAGGATATAATTGATTATTAGTTAATAAGAAGGAGGTTACTGGGTTAGCAAAGTAATACAGGCTGAAAGTTAAAGGACACTAAAAAATTACCTGATTGTATGGTGCTCACCGTACAATCAGTTGTATAATAAAATATACGCACTGTTGAAAACTAGGGCTGCCAAACGAGCTCTAAATATAGTAAAAGTGTCATGTTCATAATACATGGAAATATAATTCAATTAAGATCCTAAGCTTAGAATTTTTTGTTAATGCAGGCAGAAGTAATGTTTTTGGGAAAATTTTCTCACCCAAATCTGGTCAAGCTATTAGGCTATTGTTGGGAGAACAAGCAATTTCTTCTTGTTTATGAATACATGCAGAAGGGAAGCCTAGAAAGTCATCTTTTCCGAAGTAATAATTAATTAAGTTCTTGATCAAATTAAATATCATTTCTTTCTCTATTCTTTGTTCACTATGATTGATTAACTAAATCATTCTAAAACAGAGAAGGGAGGTGAGCCACTTTCTTGGGACACAAGGATTAAAATTGCAATAGGAGCAGCTAAAGGACTTGTTTTCTTGCACAACACTGAGAAAAGTGTCATTTATAGGGATTTCAAAGCAGCCAATATTTTACTTGATGGGGTAAATTTATCTTTCAACTAATTGATCCATAAATAAGTGGTATTTAGAAATGCTATTTGTGGAAACAACTATCATTCTATTAATCAACAAAGTGTCTTGCCTTGTTTTTGGCTTTTCTATGTACTCCGTAATATTCTATCATTCTATAAATCGACAAAGTATTTGTCTTGTTGGATTGTAATTACAATGATTATCTCATATATTTTTAGGATTTAAATGCAAAACTTTCTGACTTTGGACTTGCCAAGCTTGGTCCTGTTGACGGTAATTCACACGTTACAACCGACGTCGTAGGCACGTACGGTTATGCAGCTCCTGAATACGTGGCCACAGGTACTTACTTATTCAGTACATAACTACCAAGTATTTTGTATAGTATATACATAAATGTGTTCTAAAAATTTTAGGCAGTTTCTACTTATGATTGTTACATAATTCTCCTTTTGGTTCACTAATTTTATTTTTTATGCAATGCAATGATTTTTTTTGAATAGTGCAATTAAATAATGTAGTTATCGATCTATAAATGAATTGATAAAAGTAGTATATTTTTGCATACAAATTTACAAAATACTACAAAAAGTATAGATCATGAGTGCTAACAAATAGAAATGACTTTATATCTTATTCAAATAAGCAGTTTTACGGAAACTAGTCATAATTTTACTACTTTCCCAAATTTGTATAACTTTTGAGGGTGACCTAAATTTAGCAAAAAAAAACATCAGCCTTGCCGGGGCACACCATAAGGGTCACTGTGCACCTACTAAAAACATGTCATTAAGCAAACAATTTCACCATTTGTATTTCACAAAATAAGATATGGAATGTGTATATTGAATGAAATGATGAAAAACCCTATATATATTTTCAAAATTTCCATCAAGATTATACTATTTTGATGTCTCCAAAGCTAGTTAAGTATCAGATCAATATTAGTTTAAAGTAAATCTATATATTTTCTAAGTACCGATATTTTTGTCATTGATTTACAGGCCATTTATATGTGAAGAGTGATGTGTATGGGTTTGGAGTAGTACTACTCGAAATAATAACCGGCATGAGGGTTCTTGATCCAAGCCGGCCATCCCACCAATATGATCTAATCCAGTGGACAAAACCCTTACTTCCCAACAAAAACAATCTGAGGAACTTAATGGATCCTCGTCTGGAGCATGTTTACCCATTCCAAGCTGCTTCTCAAGTGGCTGAGCTGATCATAAGGTGTCTCGACCCTCAACTTAAACTCCGACCTGACATGGAACAAGTATTAGTGAAACTGGAGGAGATCAGTAAGTTGGAGATGACACCAAAGGATCTGAAAGCTCAAACCAAATATCTGAAGGATGAGCAGCGCCGCCGCCGACAGTAGTCATCCACTTTCCCAACCCACCACGGAGGTATTGGTCATACCGCTGGTGGACATTCTCAGCATGATTATCCCAAACATCAAAGCTGTTAATGCATGTAGTAGTATCTATGAAGAAGTATTATTCAATCACTAGATAAGAACTCTATATGTGTAGTATGTTTTTATTGTAAAGAGAATTGAAATTCTGTTCAATAATCATATCGTTAGCCACCTAGCTTACTACAAAAATTGGAATAGACAAGACACGTTTATGGTTTTAAATTGCGGTACCGGTTGCGGTTGTGGTCATTGTTGTTGCGAACTTGCGACTAATGTAACCGCTGTGATGCGTATTATTGCGGATGTTGCGGCGTGAAATATTTTCAAATTCGTACAGGATAAGAATAGAATGATTTTTTTGCATATTTTAATAAATCTTCTAGTATCGTTCAAAAAAAAACAAATCTTCTAGTAATTATACTACGTATTTAATGCTATTAATTAAATCCGTCATGGCTACCCATGAATTGTTAGATTATTAAAAAAAATGATCCTCGGGAGTCCTAACTTTCAGATCAAATTTAAATAGGAATTAACAGGTTCCTATCATGAATCAATAGACATGAACACTTGATCACATCATGCCATTAGGGCCTTTATCAATAGGAACAACACTTAAATGAACAAATTCAAATCAACATTACATTTAGGGAGATCATAAGTAGAACACGTGTATACACTGACTCTGCCACGATGTGATCACTATTGAGATGAGATTCGTGTTTCCAAATATAACAAGGAAACATAACGTAACATATACTGCGTAATGGAGAATTGTTTTAACTAGAAATTAACTAATCTATCAATATTAATGACAAGGGAATCAAGCAAGAAGAATCAAAACACGAATGAAATAATTCGGAATTAATAATGAATAACCAATAATATAAATATTGTGAGCAAGAATGTTTTGATCGTGAGTGTATTCTGAGTGGAAAAGAAGTGAGTTACAATGCCCATGATCTAAGCTATTTAATGGGAAATTGCTTTCCTCTTTCCCAAGACTAGGCATGTGTGCCATATTTTTAGCCTTCATCCAACCACGTTTGACTACACGTTAGTCTTCCTCTTCTTATCCTCAATATCTGTCGGTTTCTAATTAACTCTAGCTAAACCTTGGCCCAACTTCCGGCCTTTGCTTATTATTTTACGGCCCATCAGCTATCAATATTGGGAATTTTACACGAATAAGCCAAAAGGATAAAATAATATCACTTTTATCAATTTTAAAATTTGATTTCAAAAATAGACTCACAACACGTTTGTTTTCAATATTAGTCTAAATGCGTAAAACTTGCTCCAGTAAGAGGATAATTAATTGGGAAAAACTTTTAAAAAAGTAACCAAAGTATTATAAAAGGAATCCAAGAATCGTAGAAAATTTTGATAACAACGTTATAAAACGAAAAAAATAGTAAGAGAATATGAAAATTAATTAAAAAATTGTAGAAATATAAAACCCTCAAAATAAAAAATGAGGTTAACAAAAATATAAATAGATTTTAATGTTCATGGATACGAAAAAAACATACTATAATAAATACCGGAGAAAATAATCAATTTTGAAAATTAAAACTAGAAATAAAAGTCATAAAAAAACTAATAAAAAGAAAAAAGTACAGAGTTAAAGTGAAATTTTCAAAAGTTAAAATTGACATAAATATTAAAAGTTAGAAAAAAAATGAAAATTTCATTATAAAAAAATTCAAGGTTAAAAATTGTAAATTAAATTTAAAAACTAAAAGAAAATTAATTTAAGTTTCAATAAAGTCAGAAAAAAATACAAAATTAAAATATACTCCGTAATAAACTCAGTAACAAATATATAAAAAGTTTAAAATAGTTAAAAAAAATTATAAGAATGTAAAAATTAGATAAAAATATTTTGGAACAACTAAAAAGTATGAAATGTAATTATAAATATTTATGAAAGAATATATTTTTTAAATTTGAATAAATCCATAGTAAAAAATCTATAAAATCCAGATGTATATATAATTTTAAAATATTAAAGAATCTAGAATAATTTTTAAAGTACAAAAATAGAAAATATAATTCATAAATTGTAAAACAATATCAGAAAATTAATGTAAATTATAAAAAGTGTAAAATATTAAAAAATAGAAAATAAAAAAATTGAAGACTTAAAAATGTTGAACATGTAAAAAATCAAAATTGAAACAAATTAAAATTTTAATTTTTAATTCAATAATTTTTAAATATTTTAAAATCCTGGCTTTGCGCCGTTGATTTTGATTGCGACCTCCTTCCAGACCGCGAGATATGGACTAGAGCTCGGCTGTGCGGGATTCGTACGAGAGCCCGGTGTGGTCGGAAGCGAGAGGTGCGGGCAATCGGACTTTAATTCCAGACTGTGGCATTGCGCCATCAATTTAGGGAGCTGACCACCTTCCAGACCGCGAGATATGGGTTAGAGCTCGACGCTGCGAGATTTGTGCGAGAGCTTGGCGGGGTCGGAAGCGAGAGGTGCTCGACCAAGGTCAAGACTGTCAAGTAGCCCAGCCTCGTGGCGAGCACCACAGCTTTAGGGAGGCTCATCCCCCCATTTACCTCGTGGCAAATGTGAAGACTTACTCCTCAAGGAGTAGACTGACGTGCACTTTGTCGTGAGTGCACTCAAAATAAATTTAACACTAGCACTTATACGTAGTATAGGTGAAGTAGAGTTCGTATCCACAGGGAAAGGAATAACTTTCTTTTTATATAAATAGTAAGTAAAAGGGGGGTTTTGATTGTTGAGTGATTTAATTAAATTAAACACGAAGATGAACGAGTTATATGGGATTTAATTCAAAGATAAAAGTGACTTGGCATTGCTACTTTCCACTTGTTGATATATTTTAGTCGATCATTGTTATATCTATAACTTATCTCCTCTCGAATACTCAATCGAGGAGTATATCCAATTCATCGAGGATAGTTATTAACAACGACCGTTCATTAATAACCCTTACTATTAGTCAAGTATAGAACAACGCCATATACCGACTTGATAGTAGCATTTAATCTTTTAACTCCTTGATGAAATCAATTGAGATTGATAACCTTAACACAACGGTTTCGGTTTAACCAACAAAATTAATCCCTCTTAAGTCTATTAACCACGACCGTGCATTAATAAACCGAAGTTACTTACTTGTGAAACTATCAACGATTAACCATCGGTTCGTTGATCATTTCTAGTGGTAATTAATATATGAAACAAAACTAGTTGATCCTTTAAGTAATGTTCAAAATATTAATATGAAATATGAATAGGAATTAATTAATACTCAAGGAAAAATATTAAAGGGAATGAATCCTACTATAGTTAAATATCAAGATGTTAACTAATTGTCATCTTAGAGCATCTCCAATGCTATAATGTCCACGGTGCACATGTGGCATGAGTGATAGCCACATAATTATTAGCAAATAAATTATTTCTCTCTTTATTTGAATGATTTTATACAATTTTGGTAAGATTTTCCCTGCAATGTCAACAACAATGTCAACATTAGACGGTCTCCTTGACATTGTGGAGAAAAACTTACCAAAAGTGTATAAAATCATTCAAAAAAGGAGAGAAATAATTTATTTACTAATATTTATGTGGTCATCTCTCATGCCACGTGTGCACCGTGCACATTGTACCATTGAAGATGCTCTTAGTAACACTCCCCGATATTAACATAGAGGAAGGAATAGCTATTACTAAAACCAATGTCAAGATGTTAACTAATTGTCATCTTAGTAACACTCCCCAACATTGATATAGAAATAGTATTTAAAGGAAGAATTAATATTCAAGGAAAAGAAGTTAAGAAAATAACTCACAACTTTAATAATCAACAAGCTTCAAAAGCAATACCAAGAAATGGAAGTTTAGTTCCTCATTTGGAGACTAAACATGCTAAAAGAAATATAAAGAAATGCTATTCTAAACTGAGCTTAAGAGTATAAAGAAATTGGTGTGCTTAAAGTGAAGGAAAGGAGGTGTATTTATTGGCTTTTTGAAGTGCAGGCCGAGTACTCGATCGAGTATGTACATATACTCGATCGAGTATGTGTAGAAACCTGAATTTGGTCAATACTCGATCAATACTCGAGTAGATTTTATATGTATACCCGATCGAGTATGTCGGTGTACTCGATCGGGTATGACAATAGAACGTGGCCAAATCTTTCCTTGCATGTTCATTTGTTCCCGGATCGGATCCTTGAAAATCAGTATTGGTACTCGATCGAGTATAAGGTATACTCGACCGAGTATACCCCAAAATCAGGAGTTTTTCCTTCTTTTTGTCTTGTACTCTTGCACCTTCCTTCATCATTGATCATTTGATTGATATTGGACCTGTTTAAGCTCAGAATAAACCTAATCTAAACAAATTACAAGCATTTTAACAAACTAAACTATTACACCGAAAGTGTGTAATTTCCGAAATATTAAACAACCAAAACTAACTAAAAACGTAAATAAACACACGGAAATTACAAACGTATCAACTCCCCCACACTTAGTTCTTTACTCGTCCTCGAGTAAAGTCAAATGTTCAAACAGTTTAAGACCATTCCATGAGTTCAAGAAAGAAAGGAACTAAGATCACCAAGAAATAAGAAAATGATTTTACAAACAACATTTTTCTTGGGTTTTATGATCTTCTATGCTCCATCTTCTTGCCTCTTCTTCTTTGCCTTCTCCTCTTTCTCTTCAAGAGATCAAATGAGTTCCTGCACACAACAAACACTTCTCTCATATCTCTCATTTTGCCTAGGAGCCTTTTCAGGTTTTCATCCTAGCATCTCTTTTTGTTTTTCCATCCTTTCCAAACTCACTCAATTTTTTTTATAAGCCATTTTTGCTTAGATTGCCCATTCTTGGGTTTTCAACCTAACTAGCATTTCAATTCTTTTAAATCCATTTTTCTCTTTTTTTTTTTTTTTTTTTTTTTGTGTTTGCAAAGAGTAAAAGAAATTCCTGCATAGTAAAAGGTAGAAAATGAAATTACATACCATGAGTAATCTCCTCCCCCACACTTAGTTGAAGCACTGTCCCTAGTGCCCGCCTTCTCCGCCGTAGTAACTGCCCCCAAAACCGCCTCCATAGCTCCCATCGCCCATGTGAGTATCGCCACCGTCATCCCCGCCATCAAAACCGCCACCCCCGGAGCTCGATCCTCCAAAGTTGCCCCATTGAGTGGGGTCATACCAAGAGGGGGGTGGTGGTGGTTGAGCCATGGTGTGGAATTGGCCTTGATGAGCCATGTAGGAATACATAGGTCCATAGAACCTACGTTGATCTTCTTCATACCTTCGATTATCTTCGGCCCGTTGC